GCAGTAATTATCTTCTATATGTATCAGTTCCTAATTTTAGTTTGAAAACAAAAACGGGAAGGAACTAACTTATCTCTGGAAGAGTTTCGTTTCTCGGACACATGAAACTCCTACTTTAAAAGTTAAATAATCCATTCCACCAGGAAATTTCAGAGAACCACTCCTCTTTTTTTTTCAAATTTAGTATGTCATAAGCACTAAAATAGTTTGTAAGTTCATTTTTTTCAAGTCTATACAAAATTTGGTGAGAATTTCATCATTAGTAATTTTTCGGAGCTCAAAAATCCTCTTTTTTTTCTAGCCCAAATTATTGATTTCTGTTTCAAATTTTTTACAATTTCTCTTTGCCACGCTCGAAACATGAAGTTGATTTTCTGAATCTTTGTTACTTCATATCTGCTTCTCATTTCCTCCTTTCTGCACTCTTCTAAGAATGTTTTTGATGAACACCAAGCTCACTTTCTGTTTCTTTGCAGCATCGTCTTTAATCAAGAAAATCTCAATTTACTGACAACAAAATTTGGCTCTGTAAATTTTTTTTTCCTTCTTTCTGACTTTCTTTCTTTCTCTCTCTTTCTCTCTCTTTCTCTCTCTCTCTCTCTCTCTCTCTCTTTCTCTCTTTCTTGCTACAGAAACGAAAGCTGTTGACGCTGACTCGTAGAGCGTTCTTCTCAAGTTTATCAAAATTTAGTTTCCCTGATTATCCAGCTAGTTTTTTTAAAATAAAAAAAGATCAACTCGCGCTTTCAGAGTATAAACAGTCACATTTCCTGCTAGGTGCTCTGTCTTATTGCACCTATAAAACAATACAGTCTTAAGACTTTTTCTGAATTTCACTCTAAATTTTTACTTAATTTTATCAATATACAAAAGGTACAAAACTGCTTCAGAAGGCTTTTAAAGGGTGATCGACAAACAAATTATTTTAGTTAAAACCTCGACTACTTCATCAAAATTATTTTGCAATTTTTCAGTTCTCGTATAATAATTAACTACGTTAATTATTATTTTGCAATTTTTCAGTTCTCGTATAATAATTAACCTCGACAATTCATCAAAATTATTTTGCAATTTTTCAGTTCTCGTATAATAATTAACTACATTGACGTTCAAGTTAACCGAGGCTAATTCTTCAATCAATCGCTGCAGTCACCGTCGTTTAACGCTTTAAATCGTCTTACACAAAACAGCCAAAGCTTTACTTTCTTTGCATTTTAGAGATTTCAAAAACAAAAGTATTACTTAGGTCCACATTGAGCCAATTTATACGAAACAAGCAGCAATTTGTTTTTGAAAAACTTCTCTCTTTTTTTGAAAATGATTCTTTTTGTTTCAAAATGGCGTCATTTAAACAACCGTGCACAGTGTTTCTCATTTTTTACTTGATTCAAATTTAATCCAACTAATAAAGAAACTGTCTGGCCTCGATCTGATACGCATGAAACGCTAAGCCAATTTTTGTTTTCAGTAAATTGAGGTCTTCTTGATTAAAGACGATGCTGCAAAGAAACAGAAAAGGAGTTTGGTGTTCTCTGAAAACAATTTTTTCTCTGAGTTAAACATTATGTTCGAGCCATTTTGCCCTGAACAATTATCTCCTTGTAATATAAACCAAAAGACTTTTCAATATCATAATAAACAAGACTGCTCGTATCAGGGCGAAGCCCTGAAAGTTCCGACTGCCTTTAAAGGTTTATGGGGCAGTAAAAACAAAAAGTAATAAACAAAATTCTAAAATTTGAAATTTCCTATGAAAATCATCCCCCCCCCCACACGCCATGTAAAAAACAAAAGGATAGGTTTCGCTCCTTTTAAAAAATCAATTATGGCAAATAAGCTTCTTTCAACCAATTTGGAACGATTTCTATGACGGATTAACTCTCCGCTTACGCGTTAATAGCGCGAATTATATCGAGCGTTAATTGTTCCAAATTGGCCAAAATGGCAATATTTAAACCCCCCATAACTTTACAAAAAATGATCACAGGTGAAATATCTTGTCAAATTTGAGCTTAGGACAACAATACATTTCGAATGATATTTTAAAAGTTCCGTCAAAAATGGCTAGTTAAAAAGTCGAAGTTTGTCTGAAGAAAAAAAAACCCACCCCGAGCTTGAGACGAGATTTTGCTACGATGAATTAAGATCCCCCAACAATTTTACACATGTTTCTCAATTAACTTGCCAAGTGAAATTATCGAAGTGAACAGTATGTCAATTATCATCTATCATTCTTTCTATCTCTCTCTCTCTCTCTCTCTCTTCTCTCTCTCTCTCTCTCTCTCTCTCTCTCTCTCTCTCTCTCTCTCTCTCTCTGCGTATAAAACTCCTTTTTCTCCTTCCTTCGCTTTCGTTTATGACGCGGAACTGCTCTGTGAACACTGAATTATTTGTCACCTTGCCCTGTCTCAGCCGCTTGTCTTATTATCGTTTTGCTCTGTTAACCAAATATTAGTTTGCATGCTGTCAGTGAATTAAATATTTGCGTAATTTGGTTGGCTGTCACTTGCGTAACTTTACCCATCAACAGTGAAAATAGAGAACGATAAGAGAGTAGCAAATAACGTGCAGCCAATAAAAATGCAACGTGCAGCCAAGAGGCACCGTGTTGTGTGTGTGTGTGTGTGTGTTTGTGAAACCCAAAAACCAGCTTAAAAAAGGCTGCAAAATTAACCAACAAGATTGACCGCGTAAAGTTTGTTTTTAACGCAAAACTTGCGAGCACTTATATCCGCAAACAGGATTTGTAAGTGGAACGAATAAAAAATAAGTCATGAAAATGTACCGGCAAAAATCCAATGATTTTCCAAAAATTTGATTTCAGCGATTATAATGCTTTGTGAAATACCATTTAAATTTTTTCTTTTAACTTAAACGGGAACTGAAAAAGGTTTTAAAAATGTTACACAACTAAACTTTATAAGTAAATTAAAAAAAATGCAAAAACATTCAGTTACCGTGCATTTATTATGAAATGTTACCAAAAAATTTTTCTTAGTTTAAAAGTCTCTTTGAAAAAATACAAACATTATTAAAATAGTTTTTATCAAAAAAAATTGCTAATGACCCACTGCCCACAAGAATTTGATTCTATTTTTTGAAAAAAAAATTAATTTGATACGTAGTGACAGTACATTTTCTTCTTTTCTTCTTTAAAGTTAGGTTTTGAGTGTTTGCTGCTGTAAACAGGATAGAAAATTCTAGACTTCGCTTGTCTGAACTAAAACTTTAAATAGTTCAAGGTAATTTTTTTCAAATCGGACAAGCGGTTAACAAATTGTAATTATGTTAAGACGAGTTAATTTCACATACAGCAGTAGAATACTTCCAGCTAAAAGTAAAATATAAATGAAAAGGTCTTCAAAAGTATTTGGAAGCCTTAAGTTTTTCTGCTTGTTTTGTTTTGCTGCACAGAATATGGCGTACTCAAATGATCAGTCTGGGCCTGTTACACTTTTTCGATCCGTAAAACAGGTAAATTAATAATTGATATTTTGGAAACACTGTTCTTCTTTGATCAGGCCAGTTACTCACAACCGTACGGATGTTGCAGGATAAATAATCGATGAATGATATTGCTAGATAAGTTTTCAACTCACATGATTACTCTCAAGGCATTGATTTAAATTGGCGCCAAATCAAACAAAAAAACGGTTGCTGTGCAGGTAGCACTATAAAATTCCTAAAATGTAGGAACTGAATAAAATATAGACATTTTTGTTGGTAAAAGTTAACTATGCGTTTTGAATAGTTTTTCCGAAAAAATGAAAGAAAAAATTCAAAAACTTAAGCTAAGTGTTAACGACTCAAATTGAAGTATCAGCTTACCATAATAAGCCTATTGACAGCCTGCGCACTCGCTTTTGTCGCGCGAAACTAGTTTGATAATCGAAGTTTTAACGCGGTTTCTCTCGACACTGAGAAAAAATTTTGGAAACTAATAGAGTAGTTCCAATCACGACTAAAAGGGCTTTAATTTGATATGTATCAGTCAACCCAGCAACCCAGTCCGATAGATTGGTTCTGCATGAAAAAGAAGTTAAGAAATTAAAACATACCCGAAGACAACGTTCTCGCGTCTTTAAATGATTGAATAGTTAAAAGTCTTTTTGTAGTCAAATTTTTACGAACAAATGAAACTTGTACTGAGGTTTAAGGAACGCTCATTTTGGATTTTTTTCTGCAAAAACTTATTGGGCTACACAAGAGGTTTCTTTTAATGTAATTTTCTCACCCATTGACCCAGTAACTTTGACCTTTTTTCAGGTCAAAATTTAAGTTCGAATGTTGCAAAATTCTGCTAAGACTCCAAGCAAGTTTTGTCGAAAGTTTTTTGTCTTTTGTCAGCCTATCTTAAAAAAAACGCGTTTTAAAATTCATATTTAATTATTTTCGTCTGGATAATTTAAATCAGTACTGTATGTAATAGATGATCATTAATTATTCATTGCTCTTTATACGCAATAAAGATCCGCAAACAGGAATTGTAAGTTGAACAAATATGAAAATGGTAATGAGAAACGTACCGAAAAACTAATGATTTCTCAAAAATTCAAATTCAGCGACTATAATGCGTTTTGAAATACCACTTAAGTTTTGTTTCTTTGCTTGTTTATGCATTATTTATAAACTCATCAAGAAAACACGAAAAAAAAAACTAAAACAGGGACTGAAAAAATGTTTAGCAAAATAGTACAAAGGGGGATCCTTTAGGTCGGCAGGGGGTCGAAACCCTGACGGGGGAGCGTCCGCAACCACCCCGCCCTTAAAACCGCTGCTGGGCAGTGAACGAAAATAGTGTGTGGTATTTTGGTGCCTAGCGCGCTTCAAAAGTGAAAAAAAAATCAATCACTGCAAATTTGAAAAACTGAAAAAGTTGGATAGCATGTTCAAAATTTAAAACATTAGAATTGAAACTCGACCTTGAATTAGTATACAGCCGAGATGATGAAAAAAACGCGGCTTGTTAAAATGAGTTTGATAAAAAGATCTTCCAACTAACCTTTTGATTTCCACTCGACAAAGGTCGGCGAAGTTCGTTCCAGGTTGGTCCCTGAAACAGAAACGGAAAAATTGCCCCCCTTAGGCGCTCTTTTCTGTTGGATCCCTATTTTGCGGTGGTGGGGCTGAGGTGTTAATGACTGAATACGTGACCGAGAGAATTTGGGGGGACATATTGAGTTGAGAGATGCGGGTAGAGTGGCAGCGCAAGCGTGATCAGAAGTGGGGTCAATGAAGTGTTTGCTGCGGACTCCTGTGGCGCTATTTGGACGCTCTACTTTTTCTGGGTCCATAATCAGAACTGATTCAATTTTTAATCTTCGGTTTTAAATTTGTGGAAACAAATCGTACATTTTTCTATAGAGAGAGAATTTATCAGCATTTATTGAAACATTCGCATCACCAGTTTATAAGATATTTCAGGGTGTATATAGGCAATATAGAAGTAAATGGCTGGAGTCAAAAATGAATTCAATAAAAAGTCAATCAATTCCTATTCTTGCTCAAAAAAATTTCTTGTAAAAAATTCAATCAATTTTGATCACTTCCCAAATAAATTAACTTCAATAATTTCAAAATTCCTCTACAATAAATTCAATGACGCCAATTTTTGGTTTCAATAAAATAAAATTTGAGTTGTTTAGAATACGCGCGTTCAATAATGTCAAATTAGTGAAATTTGGGAGTGAGCATAAATTCAAGTTAAGACTATTCTGGTTGGGGGAATTTTTCATGTCAAATTATTAGTTTGACTGGGATAAAAGGGCTTTGAGAACGGTTCGCCCGGCATGATTGCTTAGAAGTCGACAAATTACTCCAAAATATGTATTTTCAAAGTTTGGGTCACAAATGTTATTTGCAAAACACGCGCAATAATCACCGGGTTGTTTACAAAGTTTCGCCCAGGGAGTCGTGTGGTAAGTTTGATTGAGTGCATTATGTTTTGGGCAATTTGGGTGAATGTTTACCTGGGCAAGTTAGGAGGCAGTCGAGAAATGAGGTTGCTGGTGGGTCGCAGCTTGTGCTGCTTTTTTTGGTCTCTTTCTCACCCGCACCTGAAATAGAACTATAACATAATAACGTAATCATAGATAGAGAGAGAGAGAGAGGGAGGAGAGGGGGAGGGGGGAGGGAGGAGGGCGAGGGGCTGAGGTGAGCAAAACTCAAAGTCTAAAACTGAACTGGATTTTTAATCATGAATGTCGGTTTCGTTGGTTATTTAGAAAACTGGTTTGAATTTGACTATGGTGTGTTGAATCTTTTGAAAGTATATTGAAGTACATTGTTTTGTACAGCTCATAAAATAATTTTTATGCCGATTTTTGTGCTACCTTACCATTGCTTTAGGGCATTTAACTTCCTCGAAGAATCTTAGATGAAAGCAACCCAAGAGTAATTATCGTTTTTATTGTATTTTGAGACGTCTTTTTTGACATTTCTGGGTCGTGGTTGTTATATTCAACCCTGGTCGTGGTTGTGGCTTCATGATCTTATGATCAGACGGTTGTGGTTTTATGATCAGACGGTTGCGACCAAATTTTAGTAATTCCAGACTGCCGCGACCGAAATTGGATATTTTAAGACCGCCACGACCAAAATTTGGTATTTCCAGACTTTGCGGACCAAGGCAATTCCGAAGGAAAGTTAACCGCGACCGGCTCGACCGAAGGAAATTTAACCGCAACCGGCGCGACCGAAAGAAACTTAGTCGCGGCGGTCAAAAAAATTGTCGCTGCGCTCGAAAAGTTAGTCGCGGCGGTCGAAAATTAGTCGCGCTATGGTCGAAAAATTATTCGCGATGGTCGAAAATTTAGTAGCGGTGGTCAAAAATTAGTCGAAGCTGTCAAAAAATTTTTCGCGGCATGGTCGAAAAATTAGTCGCGGTAGTCGAAAAAATAGTGGCGGTGGTCGAAAGTATAGTCGCGGTGGTCGAAAGTATAGTCGCGGTATGGTCGAAAAATTAGTCGCCGCAGTCGAAAAATTAGACGCGGCATGGTCGAAAAATTAGTCGCGGCGGTCGAGAAATTAGTCGCGGTAGTCGAAAATATAGTCGCGGTTGTCGAAAGTATAGTCGCGGTATAGTCGAAAAATTAGTCGAGGCGGTCAAAAAATTAGTAGCGGCTGTCGAAAAATTAATCGGGGCTGTAAAAAATTGGTGGCGCGGTCGAAAAGTTTGTCGCGGCATGGTCGTAAAATTAGTTGAGGTGGCCAAAAAGTTGATCAAGATCAGCGCGACAGAAGAAAAATATCCGCGATTGGCGCGATCGAAAAAAAAATTAATAGCAACTGGCGCAACTGAAGAAAAGTTAACAGCAATCGAAAAAAAAGTCTGGAGAAAAATGTTTCAAAAGAATTTGAAGAAACTGTTGAAGTGTGTAAAAGTGTAGTATCGGAAAAAGGTTAGTGTTCAAATTTAATTGTAGGTAACTGTTAGGCATCAAATCGAAATCTTACTGCACTGTTCCATTTCAGATCGTATCGGACGTTAGAGATCGCAAGGTCACGACAGCAGGTATCCAGACAGAAGGAAACAAATTGATAGCACTTACATAAACTCAAGCAGGTCTCCAGACAGAAGGAAACAAATTGATAGCACTTACATAAACTCAAACTGGTCCCTATCTCATTCGGGTAACAACAAATAAATTTTAAATCGTAGATATAAAATTTATCAACTCATTGTTTCTTTTGTTATGGGTACATGTTACTAATTCAGTTTTAGTTTAAATTGAATTTTCAGGCAGACTTGCCAAACCTCTCTCTAAGGTTTTTTTCTCTTCATCATGTTACTTGTGCTCTATTTGATGGATCATGACTCCCCCCATTTTATCAACTCCTCGTCGCTGTCGCGTTGATTTTCTTGTTGCCGCCACGCCTTGTCTTCGTTTGCCACCGACGGTTTTCGGTGTTATCTCCTTGTCCGTTCCCGACGGTACGTTTTCTCCCCCGCTCGCCGTAATCTTCGCCGTTTCGTCCCTTTCGACTTCCCAATCGCTATCCTCATCTTCCTCGCTTTCGTCCGCGCTGTACTCTACTATACGATGTTTCGTTGATTTCCGCGCGTTTTCCATCTCTAATGGATCCTTTTCGGCCTTTCTTTTGCACTTTGTGGGTTCACTTGGTTCCGGGGTGCTCTTTCGGGACTTACTAGGTCCTGGGGTGCACGCGTCACTTCTATCCTCAATTTGGCTTTCTTCAGCCGCCGATCTAAAAGAAACACCACTTCGCCTTAGTACGACCCTTTTTCCATCTGCACCGTGTTTTAAGTTAATTTTTTTTTAATTTTCAATGGTAAACGTTTATACCTTCTCGGGTCCTTCGGGTCCGTTTTTCCAGTCCTTTGGTAGACTGTTGTGCTGGTCTTATGCCTTTTGAGGCATTCTGGTGCTTTTGGTATTTTTCCTGTTCCCTTGGGATCCTATACCTCCTGAGCCTTGGGATTTGTTTCGATTAGCTCCTCATCCTCCAAAACACTTCGGGTTTTTCTATTCTCCGGGGCGCTCCTCCTTTCCCCTTATACCAAGTCGCTCCTCTTTTCCCAATCTAGGGTTAGCTCTACATCCGGGAGATTACCCGCCTTGTCTAAACAAGATAACTTCTGGTTAACAACATTTGATCAGTTTAGATTTTTCAATGATGGTTTTTTCGTCAAATTTTGCAGAGCCGTATTCGCTTCTCTTCCATGATAAGCCTCAAAAGACGTTAGCTTAGTCTTAGAATGTGGCACAAAACGTAGCGCGCTGAGCGCACGGGATATCTCTACCCAAACTTTTAGTTTTTATTTTCCTGGAGATAAGTTAGCACGTAATTTTTTGTCGACCCAATTGTTCGTTCGACCATTCCCGTCGCGCGATGGTCCTTAACCGGAGATTTAATGAGTTCAATAACTTCGTAATTACAGAAATTTTGAATATCAGTTGAGAAAAATTCAGTTGCCTGATCCATATGCAATTTCCTTGGGTATCCATGAGTATTTATGTACTTCCTTAGGAACCTTAATACATTTTTAGACTTGTTACTTGAACAGACATACGCCGACGGCCAATGCGGAAAAGTGTCTACTGCTACAAGTACATACTTCTTTCGACCCCTTAATTAATTGACCGGGCTCCAGAAATCTAATTGGACCAAATCATTCGGTTCCTTAGGTACATAAGTTTCCCCCCATGTCACTTTTTGGAATATCAAGTTTAAGATTTTTACCTGCTTCTAAGCAGCTTTTGCAGTACTTTGCTGTAGCGGCAATGTTCCTGTGCATTAGTGGTATCCATACATCCTTTGCGGCTGCAAACATTTTGTCGCGCCCATGGTGGTTAAAATGCAAACGATTGAGTACTGCTGACGACATGTCCTTCGGTATGGCCAACCGGCCATCCATCCACAGGCAATTTTCACGTACGGAAAAGTCATTGTAGTGTTGAGCGTAATATTGCCACAGTTTTGTTATGATGTCCTTGGCTCGTGGGTTTTTGTCTCTGATTGCATCTCTGATTGTTTTCATAATAGGGTCTTTTTCCAGATTTGCTTCTACCAATTTCAGAATCAGGATCTCAGGATAATCTAATTTTCTAACGACTTTACTGTCGGATGTTACTATTGAAAAAATCCATTTATCGTTCTGCACAAGTGGGTAGGATAATCCGGGAAACTGGTGGGGAAATGAGATAATCGTTTTTAACTTTTTAGAATTTGTCTGTTTTTGAGCAACTTTTGAAGGTGGTTTTAATTCAATATCCGAATCAGAACTGATACTGGGTGGTTGGTTTAACCGATTGAGAACAACATTAAGGTTCACATCTCCAGATTTGGTTGAAGTGTTAACAATGGCGGAAGTTGGTGGGTCAGTTTTTTCAGGTGAATTCATCATATTTTTATTACTCATTTTATTCATATTTTGAATTTTCCAACTAGAGTTTACGTATTGAGAACAACGTCTGATTTTCTTTCTTCGGCATTTGCATATTTCCGCCGGTATGCAAATATCTCGATTCTGATTGGTTAACCGCCGGTTGCATGTAAACACGCCCTCTATTGAGCGCTTGCGCTCACGGTGAGTTTTTGCATATTCATCTTTTCTTTTATTCCCATTGGATGGAACTGTTTTCGTTATAGCGCAACATGACTGATCACCCTCAACCGTCAGTTTTCTCTGAATTATTTTCTTTTTCTGACCCCTAGGCTTCATTTGATCCTTAGGATTCAATGCTGCGTTTATCATGTTTATTTTCGCAACTGTAAAACTTTCGTCATAATGACTCGGGTGCCTCTGCGGACGGAAACCGAGACAAATAGTCTGCCATTCCCATTTTGGACCCCTGTCTATGTTCAACTTTAAAATTGTACGGCACTAATCGATCGTACCATCGAGTTCATCGGCTGAAAAACGTTTTTTTTTTCCTTTTGGTGAAAAACTTAACAATGTAAGTAGTGCCTTGTGATCCGATATAACTGTAAAATAACGGCCATATATATAATTTTGAAATTGTTCCGTGGCCCACACTACTGCGAGTAATTCTAATTTATTGGTAGAATACTTTTTCTCAGCCGGATTAAGATAGGAGATACAAAATACTTATCCGAGCACTCTTGTAATTTTACGATTTGACCTTCGTTTATCAGCGGATGAATTTCTTTATCTACTTTGTCTTGAAGACTGATAGGCACCCGGCGCCCCTTTTGTTGTATCGGCTTCAGGCTTTCGAAGAAATCGGCTCTTACTTTAGCGTTCCGGATCTTTCCTATTCTAGTAAACAAATTTGGGTACAACTTACAGAAATATGTCTGCAACTCATCATATTCCTCCTCTTCTTGGCTGCTCCCTTCCCCTGTGATTCCCATCACTTTCTTTCTTTGCACCAACTCCAGGTCTAGGGTGCCCATCAGATCGCGCCCCAGGATTGACTGATGATTTCCAGATATTACAGACACTTGTGCTGGTGCTGCCCAACCGTTCAACGACATTGTCACTGCTACCTTCCCCAGTATGTTTATTCGGTTGTTATTGTAGTCCAAGAATTCATCTTTTGAAGGTTGTAACTGAATATTCGCTTTACCTAATGTTGTTTTCAGGTCCGTCATGCTAAAAATTGTGACTGTGGATCCGCTATCTATCCACAACCACATTTTCTTCCCTGACACCTCAACCTGGACTCGGGCCCCAGGGATCTTCAGTTCAGTCTCGTTCTTTTTTCTTTTGATGGACATCACCATGTAGTCGTCCGATCCTGACGCCATGGATTAATTCTCCCCGCTTCCCTGCTGATTCACCCACGCCACTGGATCTTCTGCCAAATCAGTCACACTCTGCATGCTCTGATGGTGCTCATTTTCATCTCTGACTAAGCCGACTCGTCTACGTCCTCTCCATTGGTTAGTACCCCTCCTAATTCCTCTGCATGCTCGTTCAAAGTGTCCCAGTTTCCGGCACGAGTTGCATGTTGCTCCTTTTGCAGGACAATTTGCTATATGATCAAGAGTAAATTCGGCGCGTCGCAATTATAACACCTACGGTTATTTTCGCTTCCCCCACTGCTTGATCCTTGGGTGTATCCTCCACGTCCCCCTTGTCCCCTTCTTATATTATTGACTCGTTCTTGCTTTATAGATATCGACAGCGCTGATGAAGCCGGTTTTCCAGTGTATGATTTATATGCACGCTCACCACGTTCATAAGATAATGCGATCCTGTAGACTTCCTCGGGTAACTTTGTTGATCGCGATGATTCTCGTTGGCAATCCGATTCCCGCATGTTCATAATAAAAATATCACGAACATTTTCTTCCGCATTTGCAAAATCACATCTGCCCGCCAGAGCGCTCAATTCCGCGTGGAATTTCTCGAACGTTCCGTGCTCCTTCTGTTTCTTCCATAGAAAAGTCCCCTCTCATGGGTTACATTACGATCACGTTGGAAAACATTTTGCATCTCGTCAAGGACCTGTGGGTAACGTTCCGTTTTAACATTCACCGCCGGTTTTCGTGCTTTGAATATCCGTTGCGCTTCGTCTCCAATGCAGAGGTATAGATTAGGATTCAACTTCTTTTCCGCATCGATACGGTTTTTTCCATTTACCTCCTCTGGCAACGCTGCAATAGCCGCCGCATTTAAAGTACGCGCAAAATAAAAATCATCGGGATCAATGTGATATTTTGCTATCATCCCCCAGTGAAATTTGTTTATCCGCTTCTCCCAGTAAACCGGAGGTTCCGGTGTTCGTGCATCCGAAAATGCTATTATATTAAGTGGATTTTTCCCCCGCCTTTTTTCTCTGCTGACTGCGCCATGTTGAAGTGTGTAAAAGTGTAGTATCGGAAAAAGGTTAGTGTTCAACTTTAATTGTAGGTAACTGTTAGGCATCAAATCGAAATCTTACTGCACTGTTCTATTTCAGATCGTATCGGACGTTAGAGATCGCAAGGTCACGACAGCAGGTATCCAGACAGAAGGAAACAAATTGATAGCACTTACATAAACTCAAGCAGGTCTCCAGACAGAAGGAAACAAATTGATAGCACTTACATAAACTCAAGCAGGTCTCCAGACAGAAGAAAACAAATTGATAGCACTTACATAAACTCAAACTGGTCCCTATCTCAAAACAATCGATTGAGAAATTGACTGATAAACACAACCCCAAGACTAATTTTTTGATCACCGCGACTAATTTTTTGACCGCCGCGCCTAAATTTTTGACCGCCGCGACTGATTTTTTGACCATCGCGACTAACTTTTCGAGCGCGGCCACAATCTTTTGACCGCCGCGACTTGTTTTTCGACCGCCGCGACTAGTTTTTCGACCATCGCGACCGAGATACGGTATTTCCAGAGTTTGTCCGCGACTTAAAATTCTGTCCAGACTATGGATTTTCTGTCGCGCAATTATCATTTCCGCGACTGACAAAGTCGAAAAAATAGTCGCGGAACTCGACCCGGGAACAAACCGCAATACCCACAATCTTGAAGTCCAAATTGAATGCATACTGCATATTAATAGCATAATGACAGTGAACATTAGTTGTTATATTGCATAACAAGATAAATTTTCGGCTTTTTGTAATAATAATCTTATTTTCATTTTGTTGGCTATTCGGCCATACATAAAGCGAGCTCCTGTCAATACCCTCGGAGAAAGTCTTTTGAAAGGAGACTTTCAACGACGTTTAATTTTACTAAGAATGCCTCTTGGTTTTTCAGCGATTTCGGCCCCAATCTACGTGTGTCAGAAGAGGTTCAGGGTACTATAAAATAGTCAATGAAAATCCTCAAATCCACACGTCTTGTCTACCTTTTTTTATTTGCAAAAATCCATGCCGTACAAAAACCTTTATTTAAAATTATATGCTGATATACAGAGCAACCTAGCCCACCTTGCTCGACAGTGACTTGAAACTTCCAATTGGGAGGATCTTCTTCTTCACTCTGGGTACACACAATCACCACTGGTAGTCGTTCATCATTCAACAACACCCATTCCGCCAGATCACTTCCTTTTTCACACTTTTGACCATCGTCGCTCTTGTTTTCATTGTCTTCGCTTGTGACTGATTCTCGTTTTTCTTTTGAATCGCAGAAGTTTGTGGCGTCTTTTTGGTATACAAATACCTCGATGCTAAAAAGAAAACCTCTGATCTCTCAAACATTAAGTAACAGAAAAAACCTGTAGAGGATTTGGCCATTGTATTGCCCTCCTCAACCTCTCCCCTACCCCTATTCCCCCATCCCCGAAAAATGGTTTTTAACTTAATAATTTTTTTTTTCACAGCTCCCAATTGAGAAGAAAATTACAGCAATGACCCAAACTCAAACTAACTTTGGTTCACTTCAGTTTGCAAAACCCTAGTTAAGCTAGTAAAGAATTGATGTATGTGTTTTGGGGACTGGTGAATAAGCCGCCAAGGGTTCATTGTTTAGTTGACAGAGAGGGGAGGAGGATGAGTAAGTTTGGATGTTAATTTAAATGTCTTCGTAAGGGTCATATGAGAGAGGGGCTTGCGCTGAGGGCGCAGAGTAGCGTCAATTTGTGATGTGATCAGGGGACCTGTCATAAGGGAAAGGTCAAATGTCTGGTTATTGATATCCATAATTCACTTTTGCCTTTCAGTTATAATAATTCAGAGCATAAATTTTCAGCAGCGTGAAAAAAAACTGTTATGTGAAAAGTCTATTTTGAAATGCTCATAAAAGTCTTCATTATGATACTTCATTCCACTTCATGTGACGAATAGTGCAGAAGATAAGACATAGGTTCATTACGAGGCCAAACTTTGCTCTAGATAGGCGCACAATTTGTTGTCTGTGGGTCACTTGAATCCAGACACAAATTTTTAACAAAGTTCGAAAACGCAGGTGAATGCCACTAACAATATTTTCATGGATTCCGAACGCAAATACGTGCAACGTAAACTATGCCGGCACAATAGTTTTGTCACGAATTGCGCAACAAGCAAATATAGCTAGTTAATCTGGATTCGGCAAATGTAGCAGATTTTGCAAAAAAATGAGCAGATTACGCAAAAGTTAGCGGATTTGGCAAATATAAGCGGATCGCAGTTTTGTTTTTTATGCTGAGCTTTAATAATGTAGAATTTGGAAGCAAGGAGTTAACTATTGCTGTTGGAAATCATTTGCAAATCTTATAACCGGATTTAATCAAAATAATCGTGGATGTACTTTTTAAGTAGTTTGGTTCAAATTGCCAACAAGCCGTACTGGGGATCTTATTCCGGGAAAAATATCGTTTTCAAAACTAATGAGCAACATCAAATTTTAGGAATCGTGGGCTTTGAATATGGTAATGTGATTTTATCAATTAAAACTGTTCTTGCCTTAATTTCTTCTTTCAAACTGAAATGCGAGTTAGAAAAAAATTGATTGTAGTTGAATTAATCAATCTCACAATAACTGAAAACTATTACAATGAAGGCTGAAATGAAAAGATAAATCAGCAAAAAAATCCATGAAAGTCAATTTCTTTTCAACCTTTCAGTACTTGCGACTGCAAAGGTGTTCATTCACTCAGTATTCACTCTTTCAGCCTTCGAGATTTAGCCAGTGACTTCAAATGTTGTCAGTTATCGGGACTGACCTGTAATGCAATTGAGATTGAATTAGTGGCATTAAGTGAATTTAAAGTATTGGACTGTTGGCAATAAATAATTTGAACTTTTGAAAACATTTGCTGCTGACCCACAAAATTTCAATTTAAAACTGTTATTCCAAGGCCTAACTATATATCAGACAGGACTCCGCAAACAAAATGCGAGTTCCGCTTAAAAGCTTACAATTTGCAGAATCCTCGTACAATTTCAGGATGTAGCTTAAAATGTGCAAATTCTGCTTTCCTTTGTGGATTCCGTGACAGCTCAGTTCAAATGTACACATATGAAATTGTTCGTTTAAGTATTCCGCAAATTGTTCCGGTTTCCGCAAAGTTTGTTGCAGATTCCGCAAAAGTGGCTAGTTAGGAGCAAGTTGAAGCGTTACAGTGCTTCAGCTATTTGTTCATGGAATCCAAAGCACTAAACAAGATGAAAGGCAATGTCGTAGATTCCGAGACAAATCTGTTTTGAGCTTGTTCCGAAATCCGTTTAAAATTCACGAAATACACAATTTTGCCTCGTAAGAATTTGATAAATTAAGAAAACGATCCAACAATGTTCGATAATTGTTCGGAAAATTTAGTAAGTTTCCGCAAAGTTTTCCATTGGTAGTAACCGATTATTAATTATTATGTTTTCAATTGTCAAAATTCTAAGCTATTAGATTATAATGGATTAATAATCCGTTATGATCAAACCAAGTAGAATTCATTTCAATCCATTGTAATTAATTTTTCTCAATTTTAGCTGTTTTTGTTAAATTTGCTGTCGCATTTGTTCAGTTAAGGTTTGCATTTGACTTCAAAATGAGTATTGCTTATTAAATGTTTTATTTTTTTATTCGATTCCTCGAGTTCTCCTCCGGTAATGAAGGTGAGACGGTAAAATGCGGGAGATGGGGTAAAAACGATGTTAGAACGGTGTTCAAATTCGATGTTTGAAAAAAAGAGAAGAGGATTGTTGAAAACGTGAATGATATCGTTGAGCAAACACTAAGTAAAAAAGAATAGGTTTAGAAATGGAAAAGAATGTGAGTATGGAAAAAAGGCTGCAAATTTTGAGAAAATGGGGCTTAATTTTTTTTACAGATTATAATCGCTTATGGTCCTTTAAAATGGCTTTTGAAGGGATCATAATCAAAGTAGATTAGTGAAAGTCATGGATTATAGTGGGTTATAGTTGATTACAAGGTCTGAAGTTTGTAATTATTTATGGTCACAATGGCAACAGTTTTGAAATTCAATTAGAATTGGTTCTTATCGATGGAACCACAGCGCGAGTTGTCCATTTTTGCCTGTACGATTGAATGAATTGCAGATGAAATTGAAGAGCCAATTTGAAAACCAAATTAAGCAATAACAAAAAAAGTTCAGATAAAATTATTTTTAAGGGCTCAAAAAGTCTATAAATTTTTTTTGCTTGCATGCTTTAATTGGAA